AGTGCTGTGAAGAGCAAATGATGGGATTCCAGGAGCTTCATGTATAATTGTGAAGTAATGAATAGCCATTTAAACTCATTAGCCTCCAGAGATGTAGCATTTTATTGGCCTTTTTCATAACGATAATGAAAAGGTTTTAATCTTGAGTGCAGATAAGGAAAGGAACTCTGACCAAACAGTAATAGGTACACAATGTGTATTGTGTGGAATCAGGTGAGCAGTGAGAGGTCAGCAGAGGACAGAGTGGAGAATCTGATGAGGGTGAATCTACTGCTGCTGACTGGAGGGTGATGTAGGATAGCCAAGAAGGGAAGACGCTGTTTAACTGTGCGAGGGCAGGTGGTGGGGGAGGAGGAGGCTGTAGGAACAGCAAAGGAAGCAGTTGTTTCTAGTGGCTGGGAGTGGATGTGATGACTGAGCTGGGGTTTCCAGAGCTGGTTGTGACAGGTTGGGTCTGCCAATGTATAAGAACCACAAATCTCACCTACGCATGTAGATAGCATCATGTTCATAGCATAAATCAACAAATTACATCAGACCTGACTCCCAGACATCAACTTCTCTCCAACTACAGAAAGTGACCTGCTGCAAAGCCCTGAAATCAACCACCACGCAGCCAGGGGACAGCAATATTATCCACATGTCAGAGGCCTGATTCTGCTCTCACTTGCACGGAGTTGAGTGGAGTTATACCACTGTGAAGGAATCAGGCCTCAGCTTTTGCTAGATAAATGTCTGTGGTCAACATCGCCCCAGGAATTTGGGATTTTGCAGTGAAACTCTTAGGCCATGTTTACACATACAGTGCTGCAGCTGTGCCGGTACAGTTGTGCCACTGCAGAATGTGTGGTGAAGATGCTCTACTATACCGACAGGAGAGCTCTGTCCCATCGGCATAAAAAAACCACTCCTGTGATTGGCATAAGCTATGTCGTCTCCCACCGATATAGCGCTGTGCACACTGGCACTTATGTCAGGGTAACTATGTCGCTCGGGAGTGGAATATTCACACCCTAGAGTGACATAAGTTTTGCTGACATAGGCAGTAGTGTAGACATAACCTTAGAAACAAAATTAAATAACCTTTTTATTTATAATAATAACCAAGTTCCCTTTCTTCCAAGTTGCCACAACTTAATTTTTTTTTTTAAAGGTTTCGCTTTATATTATGTTGGTATTGGAACGACTGCCTTAGTGTTTGGCTACCTACAGATTTCCTTTTGGGTTTTGGCAGCAGCAAGGCAAACAAAGAAAATAAGAAAAACTTTCTTCCATGCAATTCTGGGACAGGAACTCAGCTGGTTTGATAGCAGTAACAGTGGAGAGCTTAACACACGTCTGACTGAGTAAGATCTTTGTATTTTGTTGTTTAGGGTCCTGTACTGCAGCCCTCAAGTAGTCCCAGTGAGTAAAGATTGCAGAACCATGTCCTTAGTCAATTTTTAAGCCTTCTGAGAGCATTTCTCTTTGTTCTTATGCCTAAACTGTATATATTTCCACTGAATGTGAAATTCTGGGTAGAGCTGAGCAAATGATATTTTTTTCAAATTATTTATTTATTTATTTATTTGCTTTCATGGTCAAAACAAAAAATCTGGGGAGAAAAATAATTTCATGGGGAAAAAAAAAGCTGATTTTTTTGTTGTTGCCAAAATGAAAAAAAGAAATCATTTCTGGTCAAATGAAACATTTTGTTTGACCAGAAACAAAAACTGAGTTTTACCAATCTAACTTTACATTTCTAAACAAAACACAATTTCAAAATGAAAAGTTGAAATGTTTTCTTTAGAAAATGTCAAAATGAACCTTTTTGACTTTTTTTTTTCCATTTTGTAGTCACCAAATTCAACCTGAATTCTGAAATAGATTAATTCAACCAGAAAATATTCATCCAGCTCTAATCCTGGACTGTTAAGCCTTGTTTGCATTAAGAACATTTTGCAGTGGTGCAACTATTTAGTGGTGACTAAACTGGGGTTGAGTGGGGACTAATAGGTTGCATCTGTGTAAAGTGGGCCTTTATACTGGTATTCTGTGGGCTAATTCTGCCATCAGTTTCACCACTGGGAATTAAGATTAACTCTTGCATTCACTTGAGTTACTGTGAATTTACACTAATGTAACTGAGGGAATGTCTGCAGTGCTGCAGTTACCCTTAGTGTAGTGCAGACCCTTGCTGCAGCAGCAGAAAGGGTTTTTCCATCACTATAGTAAATTCACCCCCTTGAGGCAGTTGCTAGGTTGATGAAAGATTTCTTCTGTCATCCTAGCAGAGCCTACACCAAGGCATAGGCTGGCTTAACTATCTCTCCCAGGAGTGTGAAATCTTTCACAGGTCTGAGCAAAGTAGCTGGGTCAACCAAAGTTTTTAGGTGTAGACCAGGCCTGAGATCTGAACTTGTCTACAGCTTTAAAGACAAAGAGCCTAGGGTACTCTTTTCCCCCAAATTACAGGAAATATGAGCAGACCCAACCTTAAGTCATGTAAATTGCACTCACAAATTGTGATAGGCTAATAAATAAATAAAATTAATAGAGATCTGCCTGACCTCGGCCCTGAGCCTGCAGACACTCATGTGCTTAACTCTACCAGAAGTTAATGGGATTATTAACATGCTTAAAATTAAGCATGTGCATAAATGTTGTGGAGAATTACTTTGTACATTCCTTGCAAATAAATAAGATTGCATCAAAGGTAGTTGGCTCCATTGTTCCAGTTAGGAGGATAAATTGACAATCTGCAAGACCCCAAATTTTTGGCTAGTCACTTGGGCCAAAATGGGTAACAGTAATAATAAATACTGTGCTACAAAGTGTGTGTATATAAAAATTAGGGCTGTCAATTTAATCACAGTTAACTCATGCAATTAACTCAAAATATTAAATGCAGTTTTAATCGCACTGTTAAACAATAGAATACCAATTTAAACTTATTAAATATTTTGGACATTTTTCTACGTTTTCAAATATATTGATTTCAATTACAATACAGAATACAAAGTGCACAGTTCTCACTTTTTATTTTTATTACAAATATTTGCACTGTAAAAATAACAAAAGAAATAGTATTTTTCAATTCACCTCATACAAGTACTGTCATGCAATCTCTTTATCATGAAAGTGTAACTTACAAATGTAGAATTTTTTTGTTTTGTTTTTGAGTGCAGCTTTGTAAAAATTTGGAATCGAAAAGTCCACTCAGTCCTACTTCTTGTTCAGCCAATCAGTCAGACAAACAAGTGTGTTTACATTTGCAGGAGATAATGCTGCCTGCTTCTTGTTCACAATGTCACCTGAAAGTGAGAATAGATGTTCGCATGGCACTGTTGTAGCCGGCATTGCAAGATATTTATGTGCCAGATACGCTAAAGATTAATATATCCCTTCATGCTTCAATCACTATTCCAGAGGACATGCATCCATGCTGATGATGGGTTCTGCTCAATAATGATCCAAAGCAGTATGGACCGACGCATGTTCATTTTTATCATCTGAGTCAGATGCCACTAGCAGAAGATTCATTTTCTTTTTTGATGGTTCAGGTTCCATAGTTTCCACAGCAGAGTGTTGCTCTTTTAAAATTTCTGAAGGCATGGTCCACACCTCATCCCTCAGATTTTGGAAGGCACTTCAGATTCTTAAACATTTGGGTCGAGTGATAAAGCTATTTTTAGAAATCTCACATCAGTACCCTCTTTGTGTTTTGTTAAATCTGCAGTGAAAGTGTTCTTAAAATGAACAACATGAGCTGGGTCATCATCTGAGACTGCTATAACATGAAATATAGGCAGAATATGGGTAAAACAGAGCAGGGGACATACAGTTCCTCCCCAAGGAGTTCAGTCATAAATTTAATTAACGCATTTTTTTAACGTGTCATCAGCATGGAAGCATGTCCTCTGGATTGGTGGCCGAAGCATGAAGGGACATATGAATGTTTATCTGGCACGTAAATACATTGCAATGCCGGCTACAAAAGTGCTATGAAAATGCCTGTTCTCACTTTCAGGTGACATTGTAAACAAAAAGTAGGCAGCATTATCGCCTGCAAATGTAAACAGACTTGTTTGTCTGAGCGATTGGCTGAACAAGAAGTAGGACTGAGTGGACTTGTAGGCTCTAAAGTTTTACATTGTTTTGTTTTTGAATGAATTTATTTTTTGTACATAATTCTACATTTATAAGGTCAACTTTCATGACAAAGAGATTGCCCTACAGTACTTGTATAAGGTGAATTGAAAAATACCATTTATTTTGGTTTTTTTACAGTGCAAGTATTTGTAATCCAGAATATAAAGTGAGCACTATACACTTTGTATTCTGTGTTGTAATTGAAATGAATACATTTGGAAATGTAGAAAACATCCAAAAATATTTAAGTAAATGGTATTCTATTGTTTAACAGCACGACTAATGGCGATTCATTTTTTAATCACTTGACAGCCCTAATGAAAATGAGAGAGAAATAGAGATAATATAGATATTATTCTAAACTATCTTCATCTGAAAAAATTGCTTTTTTTTTCCTCTTAGAGACATTAATAAAATCAATGATGGCATTGGAGACAAAGTCGCTCAGCTATTTCAAAACATGTCAACGTTCACAGTAGGCATAGTGATTGGCTTTCTGAAGGGATGGAAACTTACACTTGTGATCCTGTCCACAAGCCCCCTCGTAGTACTATCAGCAGCATTTTGTTCTAAGGTAGGCAAGATTTTAAGGATTAATATGTAACAAATTTCTTGGGGAAAGGGTATTTAATGGAAACTGTTTTTGCTATATACTTGCCAAAATTACAGTTACCGAAAAGCTCAGATTTCCACTAATGAAATCCTGGGGCTTATTCTTATGTGTGAAAGAAAGTACATTTTGATCTTTAAATTACCGAATTATATTTTAAGTGTTAACTTTCCTTTAGTAGGAGTTTAACAGCTGCTCACAATTGCTAAGGGCATGGTTCCTGAAAAGAAAAGAAAAACTAAAAGAAAAATGCCTGATTTAAAAAAAATAGTTTCTTTGCACAGATAGACAGGTACAAGGATATATTTAGGCCAATTCAAATTGTTTCATCTTTAAAAATGGAGAAACTTTCCAATATTAATTAATATTAGAAAATCTCTTCATTTTAACAAGCAAATTATCCAGATAAACATTGTGTTGTCTTTATTAATAACAAAAAAGCTGCCACTAGGCTCATCAGAAGATGATAGGAAATAGAACTATTCTCCTAGCAATGATTACTACATTTGGATTAGATACTTATTCTAACAACGATCTGACTTTCACTATATCTCAAAGGCAAATCTGGTAGGTTTTATTCATTTGTTAGAGTAATAAATGAAAACTCTGATACAATAAGCAGCTAACACATGTTCAGTGCCATTTGTTTACTCTAAATACATGTCATACTTTGGATGGCTTTGAATCACATACAATATGGGTCACAGTGTCAGATTTCAATGATTAACATGACTAGACAGGTTTAACTTCTCAGACGAGATACAAACACAGGATAGCTATTGATCACATGTACAGAACACATCATGTACAGGGCCGACGAGAGGGGGGGAAGCCGGTACAAATTACTGGGGCCCGGCGGTCCACCCTTGCTGGGGGGCCCGAAAAAAAAATTTCACCAGGGCCCAAACCTGCTCTCGGCTGCCCTGATCATGTATGACATGTACATTCTGATAATGCTACAGCCGGAGTAATGTGCTTAAACCCAGTTAAATTTCAGAGTCAAAAAAAAGAAAAGTCTCAAATCCATCCAATCGGGTCCTTATTGAAGGCAGTGCTGGAATCCAGATGCATAAAGACATAACACAATGTCTTGAGATGATAGAATTGTTAGCAGTAGCACAGAAATAAAGAAAGATGGGTCTTAAGGCCACATGATTTACTGCTGAGTCAACCACTCAGGCCTGCTCCTGCATTAGGATATGAACCCATATCCTCTTTGAAGGGTGTAACCTATGGCAGGATAGATCCCTAAAACAAGCTCAGGTGCCCATTCCAATTATTACTCTACCTCTGTCTCATCTTCCCATTCCTATACAATGTACACTTCACTGTCTTGCCATGAGATAAAATACCCAGTTTGATACCCAATTTGCAAATATTATCCTGTCTCTGACTCCAAAATTTATCAAAACCAGTGAAAACTTTGAAAACTACAAGCAGCATAATTGTCTTGTGCCACTTTCCTTCCTGTTATTCCCAGACCTCTTGAGTTATTAATTTTTGACATTTTTAGAATGTTCTAGATTATCAGTGTATGAACTGATACTCTGACTCCTAACAGCTGAAAGTTGTCACTTTTTGCTTAGCAGTTCTGAGACAATTTACATATAAGCTTAATTCCACAGAGGATATTTTACCTTATTATCTCTTTTCCACTTGACCACACTGAGGGATTTAAGGATGTAGGAGGCCGTGAGTAGGGCTGGCTGGAAAATAAGAATTCCATTTTGAAGTTTCAATGTTTATTTTTGTTCTGAATCAGGACAAAACTGAGACCTTTCAATTTTTTTTTTGCAAAGTAGAGCATGAGAGACAGAACAGCCAATAAGCCAGGTGGTTAGGGTACTCCTCTGTGATGTAGGAACTATAGGTTCAAGTCCCTTCCCTGATTCGGAGCAAGGATTTGAACATAGGATTCCCACATCCCAGCTGAGTGCCTAATCACTGGCTATTCTAGGTGTTCTCATTTTCACCAGAAATCCCATTCTGGACCTGAGAAACCTTCTGGACAAAAGCTTGGTTGAAGCCAATACGTTTCCATGAAAGGTTCTGTTTCAATGAATCTGTTTTCTGTTGAAAAATTTCTGAGCAGCTCCAGTAGTATGTTTGAACCTGGAGTAAAAAAAAATGTTACAAAAATATTTAGCCTGAAATAGATATATTTAAGGGAATTCGGTATATTTCTTAGTCTCAATTTTCTTGTATTGTTAGTGATGATAGTAGATTTGCAGTAGCACCTAGAGGCCACAAGCAGTATCACAACACCATACTACTAGGAGTTGTTCACACACACACACATACACACACACATAACAGAAAGATAATCTCTGTCCTAAAGATTTCACAATCTCAGGTTATTTGTAACAGGTAGTGGTCCTCCTAAACATCTGCCTTTATGATTTTAACATTGTCTTTTTATATCTTAAAATGTATTAATAAAGTTGAGAAGATTCAATAGCCCTCCCCCCAAAAAATCCTTCTGGGCCTAGCATTTTTCTCCTGGCCTCATTTAATTAATTAATTAATT